TGTGTCTGTGTGTGTGTGTCTCAAGGACAAGGTCTGTTTATGTGCTCCAGCCTCATTTAATTACTGAGTGCACAAAGACAAACGCTCTTACTAGCTCCTTTCTGCCTTCAAAGCCAAATTTTGGCACCGAACTAATCGAGACAGGCAACCTTTGCCAACACAATCACACTTCAGTAGCTTTCCACCTGGCTCCACACACACTTACACACACACCAAGTGCTGTCTATGAGCATTTCGGCAGAGGCACTGACACTCTCCTGCCCTCTGTTTGTGTCAGCTGGTGATCGGTATAGTGAGTGGCGGCCTTCATTATATGTTAGTAAGTGGTCCTGGAGGGCTTCAGGAACACACAGGATGATCAAAGGGCTGAATGAATGAGTAGATTAACAGGCTGCCTTCACTGGAGAGGAAGACCAGGCCAAGGGCAGCGCTGGTCACAATGCAAACATCTGACCCTCATTACACACCTGCCATAATCTGAGCTTGCATGCTAATGAACACTTGTTTTGCGCAAGTGTGCATGAAAATGTCTCCATTCGAGTGCACACACTCAACAGCCTGCCCCTGCTTGCAGTGATATATTGCAGAGGTGTTCCCACTCTCAACACTGAAGTTTACCCAGATGTGGTTTTTATTGGAGCGAGTTAAGAGGGGCTGATCACAATGCTGTGACAGCAGCCTTTTACCAGCTCCATGGGCTGTACATCAAACCTGAGGGAGTGTTACTGGTTTCAACAGTCTGTGACAGACTGCAGGAGGAAAGCAGTGCGGAAAAAAAAAGCCATGCGAGAAGGAAGGTACGGTAGTCTAATATTATTCATCCACTAGGTGGCATCTGTGAGTGGAGTCCATGACAATGCGCCTGGAAGGCCCTCATACTGTACAATGGTCATAGTGCTGCAGTAAAATGCACTTCACTGCACTCTGGACTGAAGGCTGTCACTGGTTGCCAATCATCAGCATTTACACTGAAACAAAATGTGTCTTTTTGACCCATCCTGTACACTTGGAGCAGAGGGCATTTTGACACATGGACAGGGGAGCCAAGGGAATAGACAACACTACAGTTAATGGACACCCAGCTCTTCCTACAGACAAGGTTCTCACCCTTTTTAAAAAAATCATTTCCCTAGACTTTTCCAAGACATTGGACTGGCAAACTACTTTGATATTTTAGGTTTGTGATGTTGGGATGTTTCCCACATAATGAAGTGAACTGATGTATTACATTTATTGCCGTATTCATAAGAATAATTGGGATTTTGTTGTATAGTGTTTTCTCAACAGATACTATATACTGTACTCAACAAATACAAAAACTGCACTGTTTTGGCAGTCAGTTAACTTTTTTCCCATGCGTAAAATAAATATATTTTTGGTGTAAAGTGTTTACTGTCAGGAAAATTTTGCAAACTGGAGTATGTTTGTCTTCCTTCATACATTTAGTGTAAATGGTGAAATTAGTTAAAACTGTGACATCTGCTTCTTATCTTGGCAGGCAAGACATACTTCAGGCTGTGTCTGCTTCCTAACCCTATTTTGTGTGGTGATACAGAATCACACATAGTGTTTTTATTTAAACGTAACAAAGAGTCTTAAAGCATCAACAGGAAAATCCAAATCGTATAGCTGATATATTTTGGTACAGCAGCTGCTGAAATTAGCCACTGACAGTTAAAGTGCTGCAAACCACACTAAAGGCTAATTCATATATCTAAACTCTGCAGCTCTGTTCTTCCACTGCAAGTTTAAAAAGACACATTTATGTATTCAAAGTCAGATACGTGCTACATCAGAGATTTAAATAATAAATAAAAGGTTGTGCCTGCTGTGTGTAACATGCACCGTTTTGGAGAGGTCCTAGTATGCTCTATACTCTGCTCACGAGTTGGTCCAAGCAGGTGGAAATGCAAGTGAATATTATCGATAGAAAAATATAGCGTGGTCCTGCTTTTGCAGTCTGTATGATTGAGTTTAAATTTGGTTTTATCATTTATTTCCTCTGGCCACCATGGTTCCGTAGCCCCAAGGTTTTACCTGTGTTTCCCAGCAGTAGCAGCTCTGAGCCTATTTCATTTTAAACAATGAGTTAAGCTAGTACACTGTGCTTGTGTAGGATAAGAGACTGCGTACACACGCATGCAGCACACACGTCAGGAAAAAAGCAAGCTAGGCTTCCAAAATAAGGTTGGAAAGACCTGATTGCTGCCCTGCTGCATGTATATGTGGCTTAACAGGATACTAAAATTCATGTAAACACACTAATTGTTATTTCCTGAGCTTAATCAGAAAGAACCCAGTGCATCACATCTCTTGATTAATGTAGTTACTAGATGGCCTCAGCTGTGGTCAATGCCAGTAGGGTGGTCTTTATTTCAGGCGAGGTGGACCGACTCAACTAGAACTACACTGTGGGAGACGTTGGTCTACATACTAAGCATATGGATGTAAAGCAGGTTTCTATAGTGTTCTGAGAGTTATATCAAACCATAACTACCATAAAAACACAGCTGCTACCCTAAACATTTCACAGCCACAGGTAATGAGCATTTGATACATGCGCTAGATTTTCATTCATTTACTTGTTCATTAGTAGATTGTGTTCATGTATATTTATTTGGTGTGAATTTGATCAGTTTCATCTAATTTAATAAAAAACATGTCGAGGTTATCAGCTGACTCATTGTGTTTTGTCCGCACATTTGAATGCTTAAAACCAAGTTGATACACAAGATAGGACTATAATGGGCAGTTCCTAAACTGGTGAGTTGTTCGGCAGGTTGCAATGGAACGGCTTGCATATGGTTCATTGAGAAATGGTTGGTGTCCAACCACATTTCTTAAGGATGAATACCTTTCAAACAGGTAGAGCAGTGTTCTTTATGCCCGCAAACTGGTTAAATAGTTGAGGTGAATATTGAGACTTAACATGCTCACCGACACAGCTGTCACAAGTGGTTAAAATGTGGAACAGACAACATGTGACCAGCCACTGCACGTTAAACCTCAGATGTAAAGTCAGCCTGGCTCCTATGAATACATTGACATTTTAATTTTAGCTGTTTTTGTGTAAGCTAGCCGAAAACACACAAAGAGCATTGCATCCAAAATTAAAGGCATGCCTTGACATTTAGATTTTTACTCTTGATATTTTCTTCAACTGGTACTTATATTAGTTATTCAGGTTCTTTCTAAAGGAACCGTTTAAAATTGAAAGAAATATCACGAAAAGACAGAGGTGAGACCAAGTCATTTTATTTGCCAGTCACAAGCAAGTCTCAAGTCTTTGTACTGAAGTCCTAAACTTGAAGTTTCGAGTCCTGAACAAATCATAATGCACTCTTCACCAATGCAGTGCCATTTATCAACAGATTATTTTTAGTGTCATTTTTTCCAACTGGCACCCAGTAATCATTAGTTCTTCCTGGTTCTCTCCTGCAACTTGATTGGATGCTGTCGGATTGGTTCAAACAGTTCAGTTTATTTTTAATTTACGATCTGGGGAATTAGCGGTCAACTTGCTGGGAATGAATAGTGTTAACATTATTTATGTTTTAGGAAATTGATTGATTACTGGCACACTTTAAATAACATTTTTTTATATTTGACCTTGGGGGAAGGTATCAAGTATTTTCAAGTCAAAACTTGAGCTATTTGAATCCAAGTGAAGTCACAAGTCACTGCAGATTTGTAGAGTCTAAATTTATGGCATTTAGATGGCCAAGTCATGTGAGTCCAAACCTCTTAAAAATGTCTATTCATTTGAATGATTAATAACCAACCCTTTATAATGTGCACAGATCTGTCTCAAAAACAAAGTATTCTGTATGTGACGGCATGCCTTTAAAGAAGCCTTTCTCCCCCGAAGAAACGCAGGCTTCCACCTGGACAAAACTCTTTTATGTCCCAGCCCAGCTCCATTGTTCCCGTATGGATACAGCCCACTATTAATAGCAGCCACCTAGTGAATATTCCAGCCACCAACAACACCAGTTAGTATCCCAGGTGATTCAGAGGAACAGAGCTATTCCAAATCAACCCTTAAAATCTCTGCCCTTTACACTTGTGCAAATCTCAAATGGGGAAAAGCATTCTGCCAACATGAGTTATACATTTCTAACCCCCACTCATCTAATCATTGAAGTTCAGCTGTAGAACAGACCCTTATTAATCTTATACATCTCTGTAGTAGGGTTTCAGCTTCTAAGGAGTTGATTTGGGACAAGAAGTGCACCAGTGGATGTTAAAAGGCCAACAGAGTGTGTAGCAGGTAGTAAATATTAATTTGAAATAAAAAATGGTATTGGTGCACCCATGGTTGAAACTAGACCACAATAATGTTTGCTCACATCAGACTCCAGGACTGAGCTTAGCGATGGTTTAGAGCAGAGTCTCCTTGCGAGGACTGGCCAGGACAGGTTTGCGTGGGTCCAAGGGGACTAGGGTATCCCTGCATGAGTCAGAAAAGGTCCTGCCTTTGACATTAACAGGATGGGGAGCTGGGGACCTTGTTTGAAACCCTACAGAGGGGAGGTGTCTGGATACATGCTGGCTAGATTTTAGCTGGGAGTTTTTGGAGTTTTGGACAGTTGGAATGGAGGTGGAGGTAGAGGTGGGATGGGTTGAAGTGGTGGACTTTTGGGAAGTGTAGAGGCCTGAATGAGGTTGTGCTGGTTGGGCCGATAATGGGGCATGAAGGATAGACTTGCGTTGTCGGGTGCTAGGGCAATAGTTGGGGTAGAGGCTTTGGTTGACCTCAGGGGCAGTGTTGGGGCCGGGGCTACGGGCTGGGCTGCAGGGGGTACGCACACAGACAGGGACCCTGGCTCTGACAGGAGGATGATCCAGAGAGTTAGACCGCTGCACCACGGCACTGCACTTGGCAGAATCACTCAAACTGAACGTGGAGGCAGAGCGAGACATCTAGAGTACATAACAGAAGGAACACATATGGAGCAGGGATTTACATATCATGAAAAAACACAAGAGGAGACAGGGAGAGAGTATACATGATGAAACACAATGAGGGAGAGTATTTTATCCTTTCTCATACAACACACAGCAGCATGTAAACTAAATAACTGATTGAATAATGCTAATTGACACAATCACTGCTGATTTGACATTGACACTTTTGATGAATTAATGACAGCAGGTGCTACAATGCCCACAGCCGTGAGTAGTGGTTGTGCTTCTCCAAAATGGGAGGTGATCTGACCACTGAAAGTACTACGGAGAATGGAGTACCTCATACAACCCCATTTCAAAATACTGGAACTATATCTTTAACTAATATGGGCGAAAAGTCTATAAATGATTGCATTACTGGGGACAAGGTTATAAGTAAGCTTGACTTTTCCTCACCTCTTAACATTCAATTAACCATTTAAACAGTTACCATAAAAGTGTAGGAAAATGAATAAGAAAATTGCTAAAACAACACAGCCTAGAAAAAGTTTAAGAGCACGTTTAGGAGCAGAAGCCCATTTCCTGTGTTTTAATCTAGTTAGATCAAAACGACTGACACCAACTGAAAGCTGTTCCACCATGGTTTGATGGAGGGATCAATTGCCTGGTTCTCAGCAAAAGGAGAAAGAGATGGAGAGAATAGAAAGGAAATGAGGAACTGATGGACAGATGGATGGACAGAGAGACAGCCAACAGCCCCCCCAGTATTAATTGTGATGTTGAACAAAGTATACACATTTTGTAAACACTCCTGGAAGTTAAGGAAACTTCGCTTGATTATTGAAGGTAGTATTTATAAAGTGAGTAGACCAAAACAGATATTGTCCTTTCAATCACAAAGAAAAGGTCTGTTTCTCATAAATTGTGAATGAGTGACATGATATTACATGCTGTTGAAAAATTCCTACATTTGTGTATGAGATAACCTTGACTGAGTCAAACACAATACATTGCACATTTTAAACTTGGTGTGGCTACAAGTACAGCTCATGTTATAGACTAATGATTTCAGGTAAACAGAGACTTACAGCCAACGTGGAGCTGCTGCCGATACGGTTTTCACAGCTCAGCCTCTGGCTCTTCTCATCTGGAGTACCGCTGGCCATGAACGCCCTCTGGATCACACGCTTCGGGGTCTTGGTGAAAGAAAAAGCCCTTGTCACCTAGTACACAAACACACACAAAATGTTAGTAAAAGTAATAGGTCTTTTTTATAGGTCTCAAATGTTTGTTCTTTTGCACTGAACATGTTGGATTCTTAGCCACTTCATTTTTAGTATCAGTAGATAACATTCTTTTTCTCTTTTTGTAATCCATCACTGCACAACACACAGAAACACAACACATCACTTACAGTAGTTTGGGACAGAGAACCATGGGACCAGGCATTACATGGTTGAACTAGGGCTGCAATGTTTATTGTCTCCATTAATTGAATGGAAAATTGTGAAAAGGTTGATAAGTGTTTCTAAAAGGCCAAGGTGGTGTCCTCAAATTGTTTTGTCCACAACCCAAAGATATTCATTTTACTGTCACAGAGGACTAAAGAACCCAGAAAATGTTCGAGAAGCTGAAATCAGAGAATTTAATAGTTGACAAATAATGAATTAATCACTACACCTCTAGTTAGACCAACACTTGTAAAAGTTTTCATTGACAGAGTTTATTAAATTATTATATTTTATTTATTATAAAGGGTAATGTAATACAAAAATATGTCACTACTCTTGTTCTTATATGTTCAGGGATAATATTATGAACAGGCTGGTACTTAACACTTGGTAATACTGAAATACTCTCTTCAACTTGATTTAATCATCTCAACATATTATATTTAACAAAATATCAACAAGGACAATAATGATATAGATATTAAAAAGTTTGAAAAAGAATCATAATGCTCCACAAAACCATTAGCCAGCTACTGCAAAGGATCAGCATCTGACAAGTCATAGTTTTGATAGGAAGCCAAACATTTTGCCAGTAGTAGAACTGTTATATGCTATTACTATGCACTTGTATCCATTTGAACTGTTTAAGTAGTAGTCATGTCCACAATAAATGAATTCTAATTTCCTGAACAGATATCAGCTATTGACCTCTACATATGCCGTTTAAGGTCACCATATGAGGAAAAGCAGATAACTGCAGAAAAAAAGAATTTGGTAGAATGGCTGGTAAGACAGTCTTCACCAAAGTCTCTTTAGCCTTTTCCACCTACACTGCTCTCAGTTCTTCCCTCAAATATTTCTTTAAGCAGCTTTAAATCAGATAAACTAGTTTTTCTATACACAGTTTGACTATGTTACATATCTTTATCTGCTTGTTCCAAAGATTCTTTCAGGCAGTATCATGCTTCTGTTCTGCTAAATATTCAAATCCTTTGGCTGCCCTCTCTGGATAAGCTGCAAAGAGCAGCTAAACAGCATCCAAGTCAGATTTTAGTCTCAGCCCATTGTTTAATGACTGCACAATTACATCAGAGGGAAAGGTCTGTACTAGGTGTTTTGTTCCTAATGTCATTCATGTTTTTGTGTAATTCTGCCTAAAATTATTTTTATATTTACCTCATGATCTGGACTACAATTTAGAAAGTCCTGTCAGTCTGACCAAGGGCTGTACCAAAATTAGAACATTTGGGTCTACACAGAGTTCAACATTTGAGGTTGAGGCTGCTGACGGCTCTGTCAGTGTGTCACTGGACGGCAGTAGAGCATCTGGTTCAAAACTACTTTAGCTGACCTCGCTGTATTGAGCACCGGAGTGGAGTGTCAGAGCAGCGAACACAATCGAGCTGCGCTATTCTGCGTTGTGCGGCCGTCTCTATTTCTAACGCTTTGTTGTGTAGGTAGATACTTTAAAGACAAGACGGTAAATGTAAATAGCTTAACATTAAGGTGAAAAGACATCCAAAGTCATTTGTGACAGTCCCGAATTACAAGCAGTTGTGCAGAATCTTGTCCTGTTTGTCAGTAATGGATAATATGAACAAGCTATAACGAGAGCTGTATGTGTGCTGTGACACTATGTGGGCTATAATTCCTGTTTTTATTTATATTATTATTGATGTGTTTACACTGATTAGGTTATTATAAATAACGGATAATGTTGATGTCATCTGACCTATTTCAAAGTAAGGCAATCAGTGTGGGAGGAATTTGTGATAAAAATATCTAAGAAATGTGTTCGTAAACTCCTGCAGCGTAATAACAGTGGCTGAAAAGACTTTTACTCAGGGTTCCCACTCTTTTTAAGAAATCCTTTTCAAGGAGATTTTCTTGACACTTGTCCACCAACGGTCATATGATTTACCAGCAGGCTAAGTACTGACCCATTAAACCGCAGTTTTCACACAGCTTATCCTACCATCAGTCAAGTTTCGAACAAAATACGCAACCAGATTTATGTAAGCAATCTGAGTAAGGAGCTAAAATACAATAAAAAACTTCCTGTACTACATAAAACATTTTCAGGATCTTTGGTCATTTTAAATAACATTCCAAGTGTTTCCTTGTTTTTCAGGGTGTAAGGGAACCCTGTTACTGTAACATACCTATTAACTATGCGTAATGGTTCGTGCGTCACTGACCTGGCTGTGCCCCACTCAGAAGACAAGGCTGTGACCACGCCCACCTCCAACTCCCCCATTTATAATTTCACCCATTCTCATCTGGATAACCTACCTTACATGATGTACTCTGTGCACAACGATGCAGCTAAAAAGAAGTGTAATGAATCGGTTGACAGTTGAGTCGGGGGGATTCTCAACTGATGATTCAATTCATCATTGTTTAGAGTGCAGCCCTAGTCTGAACAATGCTTCTTCTGCTCAACATGCATATATGTGTTACAATGACCTGTCCCTGCAGAAGGTGCAGTTGGAAAGGTTAATCATGAGAAACCGATTGTTCTGCCTTTACCTTTTTAGAAGTCTTCTTGATGGCCCTGGAGGCTTTGCTCAGGGTGCTGTCCATATCCTTGGTGCTGACCTGCAGTGAGTCTGGGTCTGTACACTGAATCAGGTCCTCCTGAACACAATACAGCCTCAAACTCAATATCATAAATCATGACCTGAAGTGTGCAATTCATGTAATCAATACCAATAGATACATTATGCTTTGCTGCCAACATAGTTGCAAGAAGGGAAGGATTCACAGTGTCTTTATTTCTCTCTCCCCCTCACCCTGCAGTGGGCTTGTTAACAAGCAGGGCTCTATCTCGTTGGTATTCACAGTGCAGCACTGACCCAGAGAAAAAAGCACTAGGAATGCAGCTGCAAGGCGGCAGGCAGACAGAGGCCAACATCGCCCCCTGCTGCTTGCTCTGCTAAATACAGCAGACAGCCTCACCTCCATATCTTTTAGTGGGCTCAATAATCAAGCTTAATCAGCCCCACTGCACTGGGCGACATAGTCCTTCTTTACCATGAACATACATTGACTAAACCCTAAATTCACCTTCCTACTGGCAGAAATACTTACTAGAGCTCCAAATGTGGATTAATTCACAGCTGAAACTAGTCACCAACACAGCCACTATTTCCTCCTGGCTGAGTAACGTTTGGTAAAAACTGCAGAAGATTACTGGGCCTTTCTAAAAATATAAATCCACTTTTTTGAATTGTTAAATGACTGTTATACCAACAACTGATCCTGGTGCCAGTATCCACTTGTAGTAATGTCATGGTAGTTGTTTACAATGTTGATCATTGTTACCATGTTTGGAGCAAATTCACATCCTCTCTATTACCATTCCTGGTCCATATTCTGTCACTCTCCATTGCTAAGTTAGCAGTGTAAAAAATACCGTCTTTAAACCACTGCCATGGCCATCCGTGAGGGTGACGACTCAGAGTGACCGGACTCTCTCTCACTGCTTTCATTGCAGGTCTGACAGCGGTTTCTATTATTTTGTCCCACCTCAATGAGAGTAGGGTAAACAGACACATCTCTCTACACTACAGTTCAATACCACAAACTGCAGCTAGTTTGAACAAAAACACATTATGACCTTTGTGAAGGGAGGATTTATTGCAGGACTGTTGTATGAGACTGCATTCGTTTAAGCTTGGTGTACAGAATAAACGTCTTTCACACTTTATTTGGCATCACACTGATCCATAAAATAACTATCTGCACAACAGTGGAGCCATAAATAAAACAAGAGTAAACATATTAAATGTGATTAGTATTTGTGTTTTTTTTCTATTAAGTTATTATTTTATTAAAAACTGATTCTGCTGTTTTACTTGCAAAAATAGCTATTTATGATAAGGGTGCTCGGATCAGGGTCAAATTACAGAATGATGGAAGGGAGGGGGGGTTGCATATACTATTTCTAGTATATAGTAGGTCATTTTTCTTCTTACCATTTTAAAGTAATGGGGAGCTAATGCTAAAATACATTGCCGGTCGAGTAAATATAAGCGTGAAAAAGACAACATAACTTATAACTCCAGTGGAATAAAATAAATGTGTCATCTGATAGGCTCTTCAAACTATTTAGAGTGAATAGCAATCGGTGGCAGATCAATAGGAGCACCCTTATTTACAATTTGGGACGAAACAGCCTCAGAGCAGGCGGGCAGCAGACCGCTATATATAGATACACACATCTGGAGAAGTATCGGAAGTAAACAAGTCGCCATTACTGCAGTACAGGAAGGAATTTCTTTGTTTTTACAGCTCTATATTTTGTATCGGACATGGATAGCAGAAGGTGTTCTGTTCCAAATTTGCCAGTAGCACAGCGCTTTCAGCCTGTGGCTTAAGGGTGGTGGCAAGACGAACACTAGACCACTTTGTTTTTGGAGAGGAAAAAGTTACATCAGCAGTTTACACTGAAAGAACCTTTCTAGGACTATCACAGCTTTCTTCCCTTCCAGCCAATCTGTCAAACTACCTACTTTCTTTTTGTATGGTGTGTGTAGGCTTACCGCATCAGCTCTGCAGATGGTGTTGGCGACGTGGCGGCAGAGTGTTCGTAGCCAGGTGCTTTTCACTGTTTCCTCTCCCACCAGTTGGAAGCTGAACAACAAGTTCTCCTGTTCAGTTGGAGGGCGAACCACCAAGGCAAATGCGTTCACACATTCTGAAAGGGAGAAGGCAAAAGAGCGAGAGATGGACAGAAAGTGACAGAGTGAAAGAAAGAAAATAATCAACAGTGACAGAAAGAAGGGAGACGAGGAGGATGATGGAGGAAGGGTGTTGGACAAGGAGCAAGGGAAGAGAAACAGATGGAAAGATAAGAGCAGAGAGAAGTAGTGGAAACAAATCAACTTCAGTGCTTCATCCAAACTCCATAAACACCAATGATTATTGTTCCCTGTGTGAAGATACCCTTTGTCTCTGAACAATGTGCTCTTGCATGAAAGCACAGGAGTAGACAAAATAAAGGAAACACTAAACTTTCTAAGAAACACTGAAATATGGGCTACTAGAGCTGTGTTTAGGTAGGAACAACTCCTGGACTCCTAGACGTGGTAGAGCAGTTTTTTTTACCCCTGCTGATTAGCAAGACCTCAGAAAGATGGGTAGCAGTGTGTAAGGTTATGCTTCTCTGCCATTACTGTGTGGCTTCATCAGCATCAAGACTGCTCTTGTTGGTTATTCCATAATGCTGATTGACTTTTGTTTGCATTTCCCATTTTCACCTATTAGACATTTCTGTTGTAGTAAAATATTGTGACAGCAGCACTAATTGTTATCTAGGCAGAAGACTGTACATTAGTATGTACTACAATAGTATGTTTAAAAATAACTTCAATAAAATGACTAAGGAGCTGCTAAAATAAGAAGAAATAATATGAAACTAATACGACAGAGGGAATGGCATGCAGTATTTGTGGACTATTTCTTCAGTGTCTAAAACCTGCTTTAACTAAATGCACTATATTTAATGTCCACCATTTACTTTGAGGGTCTAAATAAGTGTGAAGTCCATTCTCTACATAGTTCTACTGACAATATATCACTGCAATGTGTCACATTTTACACATGCAAACCAATAAATCTCTATTTACTGCTCACTAAGTATTGAGTGTCTGTTTTATTAGAAATAGTAAATGAGTGTTATTTAGACACAGCTCTTCACAGGACTCATCATGGAGGTTGTCTCATTGTGGTTTGTGTGTCCATCATGTGGAGGGACACTTGCATGCAATGTAGGTGACCACAGAGGAGTGAATGCTTATAAAAATGAGAATTAGACATACCTTTGCTAATACTGCTGCCATAGAAAGTCACGGTTGTGTATCTCAGTAATTTAACTATCGTTTTCAACTAAGAAAATCCACTTGCAAAGACTTTATCACCAGCATGAGCTAATTACATGATAAGTCTGTCTTAAAACAAAAGCCAGGTGCTCATATAAACATTGAAATATGTTTTATTTGCTGTAGTCATTCCTCATGGTCATACTGGCCTTTAAAACATCCTAATGCCCTTTCAGTGTAAGTGATGGGGGACACAATCCACAGTTCTCCTTCCAGGAAAGAATGTATCCCAAAGTTCATCCAAAGCTTTAGATGAACATTTTGTACGGAAGTAGAACTGTGGATTTTGCCCCTATCACTGTGGTTTCAATGAATGAAAATACATTAGGAAGGGATGTTTGAATAGCCAGTATGGACAGGAGGAATGATCACAGCAAGCAAAACCTGTCTGAATGTTCCTATGGACACCTGGTTATTGTTTTGAGATTGTTTTAATTGATGTAAAAAACTACCTAATAATTTAATTGGAAGTTTTTCTCTTTCTTGTTGGTGTCTCACAACAAACCAAAAACCAACCTTTGAGACAGCTACTTCATTTAAGAAATGACCAAAGTAACCATTACACTTTAAATGACATCCACGCCTGCTGTGAGACTTGAGAATGAAAGGATTTTTAGCAGTTGTGTGGAGTATTTGGAATATGCAGCTCAGTGTGGAGTATCTTTGAATGAAAGGACTGGAAAACAGCTTCTGCCATCAATAATGTTCAAAGGAAGGGAGTGGAAATCCTACAGTTGGTTTGTCATTGTTTCCAACATTGTGCTGTATTGCTGTGGCGCCTCCAAAAGGGTGCTGAACAACTTTTGGGTATTACAATGAAAGAACATAGACCACCTTCAGATAACATACAGATGAAGTGATGAGCAGTAACTTCATTAGTTTCCAGTGTGTTACTGTGTTACCCTCTGAGTCCTGCAGGTCCAGCACTCTTCGAATCTGGGACAGCGGCATCAGTGCGATGTGTTTGAGCGGGGGCGGTGGTCTCGTCTGTCCCAGTGGACTCTTAAATGTATTGATCACCTTGTGTCGCTTCCTTGCAATCTGCATAGACGCACACACACACACACACAAAAAACGAGCACAAAATCATACAAGAACTTTAGAGGTAAATGAAGAAAGTACATGCTTGTGTGTGTATGTGCGTGTATGTGCGCATGTCCTTTTCTTTCGAGTCTGAATTGAGAGTGGGTGCATTTTGCAGCATGTGGGTGAAGCTGCTGTCGGTTACTTGGCAATAAATCAATGAGGCCTTCATAGAGGTAAACGATGCAACTCATTAATGCCACATTAATTAGATGCTGAGAAGGACGAAAGAGAGAGGAGGGAGGGAGGGAGGGAGAGGATGAAATAGGACACTACATCATAAGTCATTGTTATTGTGGCAGTGTGAGTGAAGAGGGTGAGAGAGTGATTATATGAATGTAAGAGTTAATCAATGAGCAGTGTTGATGGACCCACACTAACAACACTCACTCAATATACATACAGGACTACATGGAAGACTGAAATCCATGTGTGTGGCTGTTCAACACACACACACACAGGCTCATTAGGAGGTGTCGCTGACACTCCTGAATCAGCACAGCCACCCACCTCATCTCTTCATGACTGCCTGCCCCGTTCTGTTCTCATGTTGCCCCTTGGCTAATTAACACACACCGACTGTGTCAGCAATGATAGACTGCATACACACAAATTGATCACCTTTCCAATCTCACTACTCTGTAAAAGGGCCCTTTCCTCCTCACCACTGAATATGAATCTCAGCATGTTCTTAAACACATGCTGAGATCCATGCTGAGTCTCCCTTAACAAACAAGGAACAGAGGAAGAACGCCGCAGTAGATGGAAGCATTTAGGGAGACTTTTCCTACAATGACTGGTTAAATGATAACACAGTTTAAATTGGTGAAAACAGAAAGGGCTTTTTGGTGATGCAGCAACTTGTTGTACTACATATATTGGATATGGTTACACTTAATAGTTGAACTACCACATTGCATACCCAAACAGCAACAAACACCAAATTTGTATCACATATACAACTGCCATTTAAATATTTAGAAACTAATTAATTAACTAATTTATTGAGTATGACAATCTCTGAACAGTTGAGCAAGCCTCAGTCAG